CCATCATTTCTTATAAAACACAGCCGGCATGCCGTCAGGACCCGGAGCTTTGAGGTCCCCTATACTTTGCAACGCCTCACACACTTCCTCCTTCGTGTACTCTTTCTGTAAGAGAACATTCATTTCAGGAGTAACACGTGCATCCACACGCGACAGTAGCTCATCATATCGGCCCCCCTGCACGAGAAGTAAAAAGGTTCATAAAATAGTTAGTTGCAACCTCCTTGAGTTCCTCCTCCCTCTCCACTACTCTCACATCCTCCCTTCTAGGTTTTCTGATCCTATTCCGCCGCCGCCTCTCCGACGCTGCAGCATGAAAAAAAATTGTATTCCTGTCGCCCCCCTTCATCTAGTTCACATGTGCCCGTTGTTTCCAATAGGTTTCTAATTGATCCTCCAACCGGCTTAGCTTGAATCTCAGCATGTGCTCCCTCCGGACCTGCTCATCACCGATGCTTTTCCTTCTCTCAGCCTCTAGTTCTTTCTTCAGTCTGTGAATCCTTTTCTCCAAGTCACCCAGTACATTCTTACTCCAGTCAAAAACTTCCTTCAGGACCCCCTTCGCAGCCCCCGCCACTTCCTGCTCTTCAACAATCTTCTCCCGCTCCCAAGCATTCTTCACTATCTCCTTACACCCTTCTTCCTCGAGCCATCTTGCTTCGAACCTGGGCATACGATTTTGTGTGGCCTCTCTCCAGACTGCTGTTGCTCCGGCCGTGTCAATTATGACCGGTCTGTGATCTGAATGGTGTGGATCACCGTTGGTCACCTTGTAAGCAGTGAACCGGTCACGCCATGCTTGGGTAGCCACGGCCCTGTCAAGGCGCTCTTTCACATAGTCAGCTGCAACATGGTTATGATTTCTCCACGTAAATGCATCTCCTATAAAACCGAGATCATCCAGTTCGCACTCTTCAAGCGCTGATTTGAAACGATCCATACATCCTTGGCTACGAGGGACCCCTCCTTCCTTCTCCCAACCGTGAAGTACCTCATTAAAATCACCAGCACACAGCCAAGGTTTATTGTTTTGATGTCTGAGATTCCTCAAGAGACTTTAGTAAGCCATACAACACTAAAACTAAAGCCACCATCTAGTCAACATCTGTCACTACTCCTATCCAGTTGATGAAGGGATGCTAATAGTCTGAGCCTAATACCAAACAGACCTCACAGCCAAACATAACATCTAAGACCTGAGGTCCCAACTAGGACTCCTGCCGGGTATGGGGCACCCACCAGTCCAGCGTACTCCTCAACCAAGACGCTTGCCGGGTATGAGGCCGCCGCAGCCACCTGCCATCAATCCATCTTCAGTGATGTACTGCTGCATCTATCTTGCCCGGTCTAGCTGCCGTCAACGCCACCACAACGCCACCATCCTGCGCTCGTCCATCATCACACGTCCACTGGCGAGACCCCGCTGCTCCATGCCGCTGAGACCCGCCGTTGTCGACGTGCTAGATGCCACGCCGCTCCTCCGTCGAACACCACCCATTGCCACTGGTCCCATCCCCTCCACCTGCAGTTCCTCTAACCGAGCACCCAAACGCCCCATGCGCCTGCAAGGAGATTTTGGGTTTTCACCCGGGCATGGGGTCATTTTGGAGGGCAGGGACCTCGACGGTGCCTGAAAGGAGGAGAACGACGATCCTGGTCGTCGCCACCGTTGGGATGAACAAGTCATCCAGAGTTTCTTCCGGTCCGATGGCACCTCTACCAGCCCCCGCGAACGCACCGAGACCGACGACCGCGATTGTAAGCCACCAAGTGCAGAGGGAGAGAGCCTGCAGCGCGGAGGAGATCCACCGGCACCTCATCGCCCATGCGGTCAAGACGCCATCCATCCAGCCCCCACGAACGTCGCCGGCCAAGGGCGCCGTCGCCATGCCTAACGGGGCCGCCGCCCCAGGTCCAGGTTCCTCCATGATGGCCGGAGTGGCGAGATCCTCCACGAGCGACGAGATCCGGCACCATGCGGCCGACGCCATCGCCCAAGCTCGCCGTCGACCGATCCCGCCGCCGCCGGGAGCCCGCACGCTGCCGGGAGTCCCACACCCATGGATCTGGGCACCCGTGCACCGCCGCGAGCCCGCCGTCTCCGGGATCCGCTACACCGTCGGGAGGGACGCACCCTGCAAATCAGGACGCCCGCGGCGCCTCGGATCTGGGAGAGGGAGGCGAGACCCTTTGCCGCCGCCGTCGCACGCACAGACTTTGCCCGATGCCGACCATCGGCAGCGGCGGAGGGGGAGAAGGGCGCTGGAGGGTTACTAGGCGGCGGCGGCAGCTACTGAGCCCTCCCGAGCCGCCCGCGGGGGCGGCGACGCGAGAGGCTTCACTTTGTCCAGATAGAGCCGCCCAATCTGCAAGTGAGAGAGTCATGGTGATTCCTTTCTTACAAATTTTCTAGCTCTTTTATTTGATTCTAAATAGTTATAAGCTAATTTCTACCTATGTGAGCTATTTTCCTTTTATCATATACTTGCTTCAGGCTAACTTTCATTACAGATTAGTGTTTGTACCATCGACAATCCAGTCAATGCCTCATTCGTCTCACACGACGCATGATTTTACTGGCTCTATAGTGGAGGTTTGATCTTAATTACTCTTTGCTTACACTATATCTATCGTAGTAGAAACTAATTATGTGTTTGAGTGCTAGTAGAATCTTGGTGTCCAAGCTCCTTCAGTCAGGATAGATAGCCAAGCGATATCTGCTGCTCTGGCCCGTGGAGATGGTGCCATTTACTGGTGTTTTCCACATGAGGGTTATAGGGAAACAATATGGGATCATGTGGCCTACTCAGTTGTTGCCAGGTAATAATATTTCTCTCAAATTTTTGAAACAATGAACTCAACTAAAGGATACATAGTATTTCTTACTTCCATTTTTCTGATGTTTCTCAGAAGCTGGAGATGTAGTAAAAGTTGCCTCATCGCAGGTCCTCCGGCATCACCGTGCACTCCACCTGCAAGGCCATCCCGTGCCGGCCACTGAGACGTGAGGAGTGAGAGGACGGCCCGCAGCCACCAACGCCGGCCGGGCATTACCCGGTGGTGCCTCGCAGCTGCGGCGGGAGGAGCATACTCACATGGCAATTGGAAAGCCTTTTCATTCAGCAAGCTTTTCTTGTCCCAGCAGAATCTGCATATAACATTTCATTTGTTTTTAATAGTTTGGATTGCTTACCACATGTGTCATTTATTTGCACACAACATTTCCTTAGTCCCATTAAAAAGCAATAATTTCCAACTAAAATATTCTACTCTGTTATTTACACCTTCCAGATCAAACTTGCACTCTGTTATTTTAAAATTAAAAAGCAATAATTTCCAACTAAAATATTGTACTTATCTATTACATTGCCACCAACATTCGACTAAATCTATCACATATGCCGACCAAGCCTACTTTCAACTGCAAATATCTTAACTTCCAACCCGAACAAATATGAAATGTGAACTCAACTGTCCTAGCCAAAAATGGAAAAAAGAAAAAGAAAAAAAGATACAGGCACTTCGTTCTCAATGCCAGTGAAGCACTGCAGGTGGAGGTGATGAAACCTGATAGCCGGTGTGTGAGAACATCAAAGTTAAAACATAACATCTCCAAAAGATCACAGTTTTAACATGTGCTGCTGCAAATTGATGTGGTCTTTCAAAAGTAAGATGCAGATACGACATCACCTTACAGTCCCTAACGAGTTATGAGGCTAAGGTATCCATGGCTGTCTGTACAAAACTAGATAGCAGCAGATTAATCTAACTAAATTGAACTGAATCGTTGCTTAACATGGAGTAGAATATCCATGCAAAAAATGGAATACAGGTAAAGAGAGAGTACACATCGCTAAAGATGTTCAGGATGTTCGAGCACAAGCACACTGCTGTTGAAGTGGCTAATCCATACTTTGGTTGAAAAATTGGTTATATACATGTGTGGTTGAAAGCATTCTAATCATCAGCAGAAGGTGATTTAAATAGAAAAGTACAGTTTTCTCAACAATGAAAGAGAGTAAACGGCATGGCGAAGGCACACATCACCATGAAGTATTCTTGGATACTTAAAGTCTACAACGACGCACAGATGCATAGTTGGATGGACAAGCTCTATGGCGAAGGAACACTGAACAACCATAATTTCACACCGTGTCAACTCTGTGAAATTTCTTTGTTTTTCCATATTATTATTCAGTATAGATAAAACAGGATGCAAATCCTCAGCTGAAACGCCGGAGGTGATAGCCACGACCCTTTCCTCCTGTGCCATCCTACAGAACCAGGTCACGGCATATACAAAAATCTACGCACGACCACAGCGAGCAATGTTATTTGCTATGCAAGGCACCAGATCGATTACCTGTTATTCCTACCTAGGCATGGTGGCACCCTTTCTTCTTGCAGTTGTTGTTGCAGTCCTTTTTACAGGTGGGAAAGCACTTGCCGAAGATGCCGCGCATGCAAGGGTCGCAAAGTTGGGTGGCGTCGGTGACCCCCTTGCAACCACTTTCAGCTACAACGTTGCAGTCACAAGTGCAGGTGCCGTTGCTACTGCAGCAGATACCATTTGCAATGCACTGCCGCAAGATATTTCTACGGCAGCCCTCCCGAGGGCCGCCACCACCGCCGCTGCAGTAACTGCTGCAGGAGGTTTTAACCTCAGCGGTGCAGTTCGCATGGCATTGCGGGTCACAGTCGCTGCATAGAGGCCTCGGATACCCCAGGGAAGACATGACCAGCATGGAGAAAACAGCAGCAGCAAGAAGAGAAGCCCCACCTGCAGCCATTGCTGCCCAGCAAGCTTTGTAGCTAGAGAGGTAAATATGTGGAGCAAGAGAAAGTCTCAAGGTAAGAGATGTGAATAAGCTAGCTGGTGACTATATGATGGAGCGGCTGATGCTATTTATAGGCTAGCTAGCTTCCAGTTGAGCTTACATACTTGATGTCACCGGACGGAGGGAGTAGATCTAAACTTGAGTACGTAGATCTAATTAATGTAAACTGCTCCATGTTAGTACAATTTTTTCGCTAATAAGAAATGTTACAAGTTGGCTTCACCTCTTCATTAATTGCGTGGACTGTCAATGGATCGGCTGTTATCGGTCTTTTCTTTCTTCCCGTGGAAGAAAAGAAAGGCGGACAGGCGGCTATGGTTTCGTCTGCCTCCCGTCAGCTCCCCTGCCAGTCCGCCTCGTCTGTCTTGTGCCCTTAAGGCTACAGAGGCGCGCTGGACCTCAGCCCTTGCCGGGAGACGGATTTTTAGATGTTTTTTCTTTTACCGTTCGAGTAGGATTTTTGTCCTACTCAGAAAGGTGTGATGGCAGCGGCTCCTTGAAGATGAAATAAAATTCTCCCCGTCTAACCCGTCCACAGGCGGTGTATCTAACACCGTTGAAGAGCGTGTGGAGGAGCGTCTCTAGCGGATCTCACATGATTCAGTCACTGCTGGTCTTTATCGGATCCCCTTGGATGCAGTCTTCGTCCGTCTTTACTCATGTGTGTACATGTTCGATCCTTTCGCTCTACACTTCTCTTCATCGATGGCGGTTGCTATTCTCGTCTGCTAGTCTAGTGGGGCCTTAGCATGACGACTTTTCGACTATCTACTATAATTTGTCGACACGCCTTCGGTTTGCTCCAGTGCTTGTATTTTTCACTAGATGGTCTACGAACCTCGATGTATTTTTTTTTACTTTTGGTGTTCTCTGTATTGCCATGACAAATGATGAATAGATCAAAAAAAATCCTGCAAAATACAATTCCATGGACTATCTTGAACATCTCCAATATGAACTTTCATTACTTCATTTTTGTTAGTTACCGATCAAAGGGAGCAGTATTACAAAGGCTTGGTAATTAACACCGCCTTGGGACATATTCCCTCCGTACGAATTACTTGTCGCAAAAATGAAAGTAGATACATCCTTTTTATTCATTTGACTGGCTAGCTTGGCACAAGTAATTCGGAAAAGGAGGGGATATATGGCAAGCACTAATGTGTTGAGGACTTTGTTTTACTGCAGATAATAACAATCACTTGACTGGCTAGCTTGGCACATCGAATTGCAACATCAACTGAATGCACAAGCTTTGGTAGCATGAATTAATGATGAATAGGTAGCTGTTTTAGTACCAAAAATGTTAAACCTAATGGTTTATCATATACGGAAATTGTACAGACCTCCTCCCACATACTAACCCCCCCCCCTCCAAGTTCAGGGGGGGGGGGGCACTTCCCAACCGAGGGCCAACCAAAAACTAACACGTCTAAGTGTAAAATTAAATCCTTGGATATAGCATTGTTCTTGTTTTACTACCAAGCATTGACTTCTAACAAGATCTAGATTGGTGAGGCTACCAAGTAAATGGGCACATTAATTGCTCGTATGGTTTGGTCTTCTCTAGCCAAAGTCGCATGGTCTTTATATTTTGCCAACTTGATTTACGTTGGTTAATCTTGTATACTAGCTTCGTTCTGGTTTATTGATCCCCTTTGTATTTTATACTCAATTTTAACCATAGATTTGACTAACAAAATATAAGTTATATGTCACAAAATTCATGTTATTGGATTCATATTCAAAAGTTGTTTCCAATGATAGTATTTTTGTGGTATATAACTAATTTCAATAGTTAAATCAAATGTTAAAATTCAACCAAAAATACAAGGGGACTAATAAATTTGGACGGAGGTAGTACTTGCTAGTAGAACGGCTATGGAGTAGTTAACTGCCAATAAGGCCGTGCACAGGCAAGGCGCGTCGGTCGGTGCATCATTTCAGTCAGGTTCGCTCCCTTCGTCTGTAAGCATCCTTGTGATTCATAGGTTCCATCATGTATGTGACATGATATTTTGGGGACGAAGGAACTTCCATCCAGTGCGTCATGCATCCATCAGAATTGTGACATCAACTCGAGTGGAAAAGATTCCTACTAACATGCAACTCGAGTGTGCTTGACTACTCCTACCTCTCAGATGCATGAACTGACTTCACTTAATTTGGACTTCAGCCTTGATGCAACTCGAGTCTGCATGTGATGGAGATTCGTTTCCTACCAAAAATTTACCCAGCTGATGCTGATCATAATGGTAATAAACCTTGCGGCTTCAGTAACTTCAGCTCAGTATTTTTAGGCTTTGGTGTCATTTTCTTCAGTTTCGTCACTCAGTTAGTTAGTTAGCCTGTTAAGCATGAAGGCTTAACAACCTGGAGCGAGTCTCACGCATTATTGGTCTGGACGTCGGATGGCACAAATGTTGTGGATCATTGAGGCGCATAGCCCGGGCCATGAGCCCCATTTTTTTCTTCCTGTGATGTGAAAAAATAGAAGAGAAGAGAGAGTTGAAAAGCTGCAGACACCCTATGAAAACTTGGCGTCCTTGGAGTGACGGTGCAGACCATGCCGTTTGGAGAGGGATCGCACAAACGTGGGTGGTGCAGGAGACCAACGAAGGGGCACCTTGGATGCAGTGCACACGGCTGAACAATGAAGACTGGGCATTGCTCATGCACATAATGCTCGATGGCCGCGGGCTCTAGGAGGCGAACAAGAGCGGCTCAATCGCCCCCAACGACAACCAACTCGCACTTGTGGCAATCCTCCGTGGAGTTTTTTCTTAGAAAAGGAGGAGCACCCCCGACCTCTGCATCTGGACGATGCACGCAGTTATTTTATTAATTATTCATATAAGACCTTACAAAGTCATACAACAGTAAAACTAAAGCCACCGTCTAGACAACATCTGTCGCTACTCCTATCCAGTTGATGAAGGGATCCTGATAGTCTGGGCCTAATACCAAATAGACCTCGCAGCCAAACCTAACATTTAAGGTCCTAATCAGGACTCCTGTCAGGTATGGGGCATCCACCAATCCAGCTCACTTCTCAACCAGGATGTCTGCCAGGTATGAGACCGCCGCAGCCACCTGCCACCAATCCATCTTCAGTGCTATACTGTTGCATCTATTTTGCCCAGTCTAGCTATCGTCGACGCCACCACGACACCAGACAACGCCACTATTCTGCGCTCGTCCATCATCACACGCCCACCGGCGAGACCCCGATGCTCCATGCCGCCGAGACCCGCCATTGTCGACATGCCAAATGTCACGCCGCTCCTCCGTCGCGAACACCACTTGTTGCCACTGGTCCCATCCTCCCCGCCTGCAGTTCCTCTAACCGAGCACCCAAACGCCCCAGACGGCGCCTCCAAGAAGGGTACGACACATGAAGGGCCGTCGCCGCCCAATCTAAGGAGATTCTGGGTTTTCACCCGGGCATGGGGTCGGGGTGGAGGGCAGAGACCTCAACGGTGCCTGCAAGGAGGAGAAGGGCGGCTCTGGTCGTCGCCACCGTCGGGATGAACGAGTCATCCAGATTTTCCTCGTGTCTGATGGCACCTCTACCAACCCCCGCGAACGCACCGAGGCCGACGACCGCGATTGTAAACCACGAAATGCGGCGGGAGAGAGCCTACAGAGTGGAGGAGATCCACCGGCACCTCACCGCCTGCGCGGTCAAGACGGCGTCCATCCACCCCGTGCGCACGTCGCCGACCGAGGGCGCCGTCGCCATGCCTAACGGGGCCGCTGCCCCAGGTCCAGGTTCCTCCACGATGGCCGGAGTGGTGAGATCCGCCACGAGCGACGAGATCCGACACCACGCGGCCGACGCCATCGCCCAAGCCCGTCGTCGACCGACCCCGCTGCCGTCGGGAGCCCGCACGCTGCCGGAAGTCTCACACCCATGGATCTGGGAGCCCATGCACCGCCGCGAGCCCGCCGCCTCCG